TGAGACAGAGTCTCACTCTGTTGTCCAGGCTAGAGTGCTGTGCCATCAGCCTAGCTCACAGCAACCTCAAACTCCTGGGCTCAAGCGATCCTCCTGCCTCAGCCTCCCAAGTAGCTGGGATTATAGGCATGAGCCATCATGCCCAGCTAATTTTCTCTATATATTTTTAGTTGTCCAGATAATTTCTTTCTATTTTTAGTAGAGACGAGGTCTCGCACTCCTAAGCTCAAACGATCTGCCTGCCTCGGCCTCCCAGAGTGCTAGGATTACAGGCGTGAGTCACCGAGCTGAGCCCATACTGCAAATTTCTAAACAAAATTTTAATAAATGTAAAGACGGGGGTTAAAAAAAAACACTCATCAGTACAATGGAATATTATTTGGCAGAAATAAAATTAACTACTTATATTACACATGGATAAACTTTGAAAACATATGCTAAGTGAAATAAGCCAATCACAACAGGCCACATCCTGTATGATTCCATTCATATGAAATGTCCAAACTACACAAACCCATACAGACAGAAAGTTAGTGAGTATCTGGCACTGCAGGAAAGGATGCGAAGGAAAATGGACAGTGACCGCAAATAGGTACAAGCTTTCTTTTTGGGTTAATACGCTTTATGGCAATGATGGCATAATCCTGTAAATATACTAAAATCCATTGAATTGTACACTTTAAACTGGTAAACTTTATGATATATAAATTATATCTCAATAAAGCTATTTTGAAAAAAAATCAATAGATCAGCTCACATCTTAATATGGAATAGTGGTTAAGAGCACTAACTGGAGCCAGACTATCAGCTTCTACCACTAACTGTGCAATCATCAGTGAGTTAAGTAGTCTCTCTGTGCTACCTCTGTAAAATACTTAATAGTGCTTACTTCAGAGGATTGAGTTAACACATGTAAAGCAATCAGATCATGACCTGGCTTTTATTAAGTGTTATATGAGTTATTTTTATTAATGACCTTTTTACAACAGAAAGAGAAAAATCCACTTAAAGTTGAACTAGAAATGAAAGTAAGTTATCTTTAATAAAATAGAATTAGTTTTTAAATCTAAGATGTACATTAATAATGAAACATACACCACAATAACACCTAGGGAAAATACAATATGTAATTTATCATTTCTCAATTTATAAAGAACATCTAATTTTGGTTTTACGCTACTTTGTAATCCAAGTTCATTCCTTTCAGCAGCCAATTATATAAAATAACCTTAAAAACAAACACGTAATTTAAACCAACCTGTTTGGATAACCTTAACACATCCAATTCTTTTAATTTGTAAAATTAAAGTTTTAATTATTAGAATTCAGCTTAATTAGTTTTTGTTTGTTTATAGACAGGGTCTCACCCTGTTACCCAGGCTTGAGTGCAGTAGTACAATCATAGTTCACTGTAATCTCAAACTCCTGGGCTTAAGCGATCCTCCCACCTCTACATCCTGAGTAACTAGGACGATAGGTGTAAGCCACCACAACTGGCTAATTCTTAAATTTTTGGTAGAAATGGGGTCTCACTATGTTCAGCCCAGGCTGATCTCGAACTCCTGGCCTCAAGTGATCCTCCTGCCTTCGCCTCCCAAAGTGCTGGGATTATAGGCCTTGGCCACCTTGCCCGACCCAGTTTTAATTACTAGAGTTTTCTCTCTAGTGGCATTTTATAGTGATAAAAGTCAATGTGATAAAAGATGAAAATATTTTATCTATAAACATTTAATTATTATAAACATTTAATTCAGTTTTAATATTTGTCAATTGAATGGATCATAAAAATGCAATAAATTTCTTCTATTATGAAGAAAATTAAGGTCTGTTGATCAATGGATACTATATAGTAAATTTTAAACAAAATTATAAATGATATATCATAACAGTCTTTCAGATATTCAACAGTTTGTATATTCAGTATCTCAAAGACCTCTAGAACCATTCTATATATATTTTTTTTTTTTTAGAATTCACACCATGGAATGCATTTAAAACAAGTGCCATGTAATGGATTTTATAAGCCACTTACTAATCAAGACCTGTTTTAAAGTTTCTAAATTGTTCTAGCTACCCAGAAGACCTGCTTAAATTAAGATTGGGACTAGGCTGGGCGCAGTGGCTCACACCAGTAAAGCTAGCACTCTGGGAGGCCGAGGCAGGCAGATTGCTCGAGGTCAGGAGTTAGAAAACAGCCTGAGCAAGAGTGAGACCCCGTCTCTACTATAAATAGAAAGAAATTAATTGGCCAACTAACATGTATAGAAAAAATTAGCCGGGCATGGTGGCACATGCCTGTAGTCCCAGCTACTCAGGAGGCTGAGGCAGTAGGATTGCTTGAGCCCAGGAGTTTGAGGTTGTTGTGAGCTAGGGTGACGCCACGGCACTCATTCTAGCCTGGGCAACAAAGCAAGATTCTGTCTCAAAAAAAAATTGAGACTAAAATTTTGGAGGTAAGAAGCAAATTCATACAAAACTAGAAGTCCCTTGACTAGTAACAAAGAGGAACTATCTCTCCTGGAAAATACATAATTTTATCATCAGAAATAAGCAATTATCAACATATTTATTTCTATAACTTAGAATTTTTTTATATTATGCATGTATTACACTTTTAGAATCTGGGGGAAATGCTATGAATTTCCATTCCTGAGGAATAACACTATTGATATTTTACTCCTTCTTTGAAGATTCCCTGGTTCATCACTACAAAAAAATAGCAAGACAGTAACAGTTACTTACATTTAGGGAGAATCTACTATGTATCAATACCATTCTAGGTTCTTTTATCATCATTTTCTATAATACAGAGTATCATTTAAAAATCACTTCCAAGTATTAATACTTCTCAGAGAATATATCCCAATGCAAGAATAGCAGCAGAGAAATAGTCTCCTCCAAGATTAGTGACCGTCATCAAGATTTAAGAGTTTCCATAAAGACTTCCACTGAAGACCTCTTCTGATCATCAAGGCCACAGTCTCCTACAAGCTTTGCTTCATTAATCCCCTGACCTCAGTCTACCACTTTCTCAACCTCAGTCTTTTAGAATGAGCTTTACCCTTGTCTATAGTGCTTAACCCCTTATCACCTGGACAGCCAAGAGAACCTGAGACTGTTTAAATCGCAGCTAATTCTCAATTGGTGCAGAGACACAGCCTTATGCAGGTGTCCTCAAACTGCAGCCCGCCAAAGACATTTATCTGGCCTGCCAGGTGTTTTTTATCGCCGCTGCCTGTACTGCTTAGCAGCCGACTCATCCCGGGCCCACAGTGCGCATGTGTGGAATGTGCACCACACCCTCCAACAGTCTGAGGGACAGTGAACTGGCCCCCTGTTTAAAAAGTTTGAGGACCCCTGGCCTAATGTATGTCAGTAATATCACACAAATGAAGGTCTATCACTCTGCCATTTCTGTCTCAATCATCCATTCTTTACTTGAATTTCAAGGTAAGTACAGTCAAAACATCAAAGGCCACGTTTCAGTATATTCTTGATCTAATGACCTTAGGACATGCCAAAATGGGCCTTTCTTGTGAGTCATCTTCTATCTCACCTCTACTCCTCTGGCTTACAACAGAGTGAAAGAAAAGAGATTGGCCTTCCACTTAGGAAAACTGCCCAATGCAGGTACAACTAATGGGAGAACTATGTAAAGAATGGAGAGAAAAAAGTAGTAACTATACAAAATAGCAAGGGTGTTACAATAAATTAAAAAAAAAAAAAATCAGCTGAATGTCCTAATAGTCACGGTAGGCACACATTATGAGATTTCACTATATTACACTTCATTATGAGATTTTAATATTAGGTATACCTGCCTTAAAAGTTCCACTGAAAAATGTGGTTCATTAACTAAATGGAAAACCCTATCCTATAGTCTATGGCAGGACACTAAGTGTTCAAGAGCAAAACTGGAGCTATACGACGTGCATTTTTTAACTAAAAAGGCTAAAGATAATGAATGAAGATAGAAGTGAAAACTTTAGAGTTATTTATAAGATATACAAATATATATAATACTTGATATTATGTTTATCCTCTAACTCAAAAGAGCAATCCTCAAATAGAACAAAGCAAGATAAATCTTTTCAGAATTTAAGCCCTATTTATATAACATCTCTGCTCAGGTGTTACACTCCACTGGAGTGTAAAAATGTTTGAAAATCACTGTGCTAATGATTCAATTAACAATTATCAAGCAATTACTGTAGGCCTTCTTGGACAGAAACTCCACTCTTAGGGAACACGAGCTCAAATCAGACAAAGTATATCCGACTAGCTATACTATGAAGTAAGATTGTGACATGTATAATCACAATCTGTGTAAGTTTTGTCAGAATAAATTACTTTTCTCATGAAAATATTAATAAAGAAGTCAGTGACTGGATTTTTTTTCATTGTTTTTTTCTTCTAACTTAAATCCATTTGTATCTCTAATGAAGCCACACTGTTTTCTGCTTGTACTCTATTTCTCTTTTTCTTAGCTCAAGAAATTGTGCCAATTTTAACAAGGTGCTTTTTAGGATAATTTATAGCATTTCTCTCATCAAGAATTTCAAAATTTTTTCTAATACTATACCTTATTTCACTGAATTCTGCTTTTTTGAAAAGTAATTTTCTTTATTCTATTTTCCCTTCAGTGTTTATCATTTTTAACTGTATTATCAACAACCTCCCCTCTGCAAAATCTATCAAGTATTCTACAATTAGATGAAAAATATCTGGAAACAGTTGTCAGGGACTACTTCATCAAGCCTGGTACCAAAAGTCCAGAAGTATTTTAACCATCTTACAGCATAAAAGCAGCTATGGTAGAAGGTTAATAGGAACTGACCTATTCTTGTATAAATGTCTATCTAAAAAGCTACTTTTTTCAATATCTGGTTTGGTTTTTTAATTAGTTCAGTTCTCAAAAAAGGTGAGTTTCAGGGAACATATTAACCAATTCAATCAGTTACATAAGACATAACTAATCAGTTACATACGACATAACTAACCTTTTGCTCTGCTTGCAGTCGGTCACATCTTTCTTTCTCATTGTTAAGTTCTCCTTCCATTCTTCCAACTTGTTCTCGAAGCTGTGCTGTTTCTTTTTCCAGAATAGCAGTTAACTTTAACAGTTCTTCTTTTTCTTTCATGGTTTTCTCAATTTTCAACTATAAACAAAAAACTCAAATTAACTTTTTTATAATCCTAAAATATGATACTACAAATTTAGTTGTACATTTAAAAAAAAGTGAAAAAAAAAAAAAAACTTTTACATTCTACTTAACTTCATATCAATCAGCTTCTTTTAGTCTTCAGTTAGAAAAATTCATGATTCATAAATTTAAACTTTCTTTTGGTTAGGCAAAGGAGAATATATTAAAGGAAGGTATAAAATGAAAGATTTGTTATGAAGTTGCCTGCTAATCACTTCTCAACAGTACTAAAAATAAGGAATATTAAGTTTCCTAAGTGACATAATTACTGGTTTTTCTTATCTGGAATAATAATCAGATACTTCAAGAGGTAAAGCTGTACCTTTTCTTGAATGCAAACCTATGGGAAATCTTTGAATCTATTACATACTTACATAAGGCCTTCATCTATGGGATTACTATTAAAAGTGTCGGTCCTTTAAATAAGATAACCAAGGAATGTACAGTTTCTATTTATATAATGGCCTCTTCTTGGCTAAAGTAAAACAACCTTTGTAAGCAAAACAAATTTCAGGACAAACATGCAGGCTACAACAATATATTTCATAACTGATTCTTATGCTAATACTATTAGTTACTCAATTCAGGACAATCTAAACTCTAACATTCTAAAAAATTACTACCTAATAAAAAAAAATTACAGTTCAGTTTTATATATAAAAAAAGAAAAAATAAATAAATAAATAAATAAATAAAATAAAAAATTACTACCTTAAAGGACCTAAAATAGTAGTAAATAAAAGTTAATATTTTTCTTATAGCAAAAAGTCTTTGATTCTAACCAGAAAAGAATGAATACTCAGAGGAAAGACTTCACAAAGGGGGCATTGTACACTTAGCTGGTAAAAATAAGTTTTTCCCCCACATACTCCAAATTAGTTTTCCAGGGTCACAGAATCATGGAATCAAACTGATTAAACTATAAAATGGCTTTTATGAAAGCTAAACAGCTGAAAACTTTTAGACTGACCCTTCTACCTGCTTCCACAGATCAAATCAAAATGCCAGGAGTAAATACCCTCAAAAAGAAAAAAGTTTATTTAATCACTGAATTTAATTTACCCCCCTACCTATTTTTAAACAATTTTAGATTACAACAAAAGCATTCAATAAAGTAAATAGAAACTTAGATTCAAGCAAGTATATTAATCATAAAGATAATATCATTATTAATATAGCATTAAATCTGGCTCAAAACATTCTGGCAGCTTAAAAATGAAGATACATCTTAACATAGAGCCAAAGAAACATTATAAAAGAATCAGTTTTTCCCAATTATTTACCTAATTCACATATACTTTTTGAAGAGTGTACTAAAGCCTAAGTAGAAAATTTTTAAAAGAATTTAAATTAGATAAAAATACATGTCTAATTTCTGTCCCAGTTTTGTATTTTGAAATATTTCAAGCACACAAAATAGTTGAAATTTTACAATGACTACCCATCACGTAAATTCATTAATTATTAATATCTTGCCAAGTTTATCTCCCTTTATGTACTTATTTATGACTTTTTTGTTGTTTGCTAAACCACTTTAACGAAATTACAGACACTTTACCCCTAAGTACTTCAGACCAAGCAGCTCCTAATAGGGCCAGTCTCCTTTTCAACCATTATTATTATCAGAGCTAAGAAAATTAAGAATAATTCTCTATCATCCAATAGGCCATAGTCAAATATCCCCCACCATCCCCAAAATGTCTCTTTTTATAAATATATGATTCAATTAAGGTTCACATACTACAGGATTATGTCTCAATCACTTTTAATGTCAGTGGGGCCCCAGGTAATGTCTCACATTTATACTAATTTTTATAATTAATTTGTATTAATTTTAATAAAACTAATAGTTTTATTAAACTAAACAGTACTAAAAATAAGGAATATTAAGTTTCCTAAGTGATTTTTTAGTTTTAATAGTTTTAATAAATATATAATAGTTTTAATAATATAGTTATAAAACTATTAATAGTTATTACTATTACTAATAGTTATAAAACTATTAGTTTTATTAAAACCTTTAATGATTTTATCTAAATGCAGAAATTTAAAATGCTTATCAAAAAATTGGAGAGAAAATAAAAACATTTTATCCCAGAAATATTTATCTAAGAAACAGCAATTTAAATTTCTTTAAAAAGTACCCTTTGTGGAACAGGAAGAAGTAAAATAGAATGTGCTATGTCTCAATTTACTTGCAGAAAAAGTACAAGAGAGATGTGGATGCCAGAATGCCCATTTTTCTGTTGGAGACCTTGAAATCAGGGTGGTCTAACAAGTATTCAAAAGCTGCAATATAAATGCTAACTGCACTCTTAAGAGCCAGGCATGTTTCAGCATCTTTGACTAACATTCAAATACCAGGCTAAAAACCTTGATCATCGGGCAGTTGTCACCACAAAATGTTTTAGTCACCCTATAAAAGTTACATTTCTTTATTTAAGATAAGAGAGGAATTTCTGGAAAGGGAAGGAAAGATATGGAAGAATTCACAATAAAAAATGACTGGTTCCTCCTAACCTTCTAGTTTGATTGTCTAATAAAAGTATTATATCCATAACCTCTTGTCTTTTTTTCTCTAGTCTCAGTTTTTGATGGTAAATAAAGTAAAATCAAAGGCATAAAATATTTACATGTTAAAAAAATCCATCTGACTATAAAGAAAAAGTGATGACCTAAAACAAAATCTGAACATAAATTAACCAAAAATCTATACTGAACCTAAACTATTTTCCTTATTATAGTAGAAGGCACTATATACAATTAACCAGAGTAACTCAAATATAATTAACATACTAGTTTTTTAGGTATAGGGTAAAGATATTGGGAACTGTGATCTTAAAATGAGGTGTGAATGTTCTGTTTTTCTTTCAATGACTACTAAAATTAATACATAAGGCATTATTAAACCAGCTACACAGTAAATTTATATTCGAGCCAATGCCATGACTCCACAACATTCAATTTAAAAAATAAAAAGCTTTTCACCTTTTCTCTTAAATTATGGTTAATCTACGCTTACACATTTGATCAGATGAACAATGAAAAGAATCATTCTAAAAATGTTCAACCTAAATTAAGAGACTGTGATGCTTCCCTGATTTAATGCCACACTTTAAAAAAGATATGCTTATGATATAGTGAAACAAAGTTCATATGCAATTTCAGTTAGATTTACTGCTTTACACCGCTCTCCCAACCAGGTTCATCCCCCAAATCTGTAATATTCTGAAAGGATTAGGCCACCACAAAAGAAGAAAGGTTAATGCAAAGAAACATAAGGAAAAGCATTAGGCCTCAATTCCCTCCACAGGTATTTACTACATTAACTACTATGCACAAGATACTGATAGGCCCTAGGGACAGTCACTGCCACAGTACAACCAATAACATAATTGTGACCAAAAGATTTTTTAAATATTTCAAAAATGCCACTCTAACTTTATTATTTTAGTTAAAAAGCATTTTATTTTTGTTGGTACTCTTGCATAACTTGAAAAATTTTTAAATGCTAACCAATGTGAGCTCCATTCTTAAAATTATCAGTGAATCACTATCTCACTGTTGATACCAACCTCAAGAAGACCAGCTTTTGTGGTCACCACCAACATGTCAGAATTTCCTTCATCTTCCATAGTAAGCAACTCTTCAACTGGAGAAGCAGCTCGAAACTGGAAAGGTGTACTTGCTCCACGAATTTCACCCTTATGGGTAACATAACAGAACTGATAAAATTCTCCATCGTCATTTGGAAGGTAATATCCTAAGAGGAGGTTAATGAACAAAATTATTAAATTTCCTATTATAAATCGAATGTTATTTCAATTTAACAATACTTGTAATTTCTCCTTCCTCACACTGTTCTTGGCACATATCTGAGACATGTCTTTCCTCCTATCTTTTACAAATTTTCTACTAAAACTAGACTCTTCCTTTCTCCACAAACACACCTTAATTTTTCTTCTCTTATGTCTAAGTTTATATTCCCAAAATATCCTTTCCCCCTGGTATCTCCCACCAGGGCAAAACCAACTCATCTGGAAAAGGCAAGAATGTACTTTGTAATGGAAAAGAGGCTGGAGAAGGAGCAAGGGAAGAACTAGAATAAAAAATCTAAGGAGCACTAGGAGTGGGACTAAGAATACGTCATTTGAAGAAATCTTCTCTCCAATTCGATATTTATTACATGTAAATGAGAAATGTTAACTAAAGAAATAAGCTGCACTTGTGAATTGTGAAACAGCAGAAAAGATGATGAGGTCCACTGGTGCAATACAACAGAAGTAAACATTGGAACCACACATCTATTCGAGAATTCCAGCTCTACCACTATTATTTACTTAACTTCCCTGAGCCACAGGTTCTTATCTGTTTAAAAAAGACGACAACATAAGGCCATCTCAGAGTTCTAAAATATCTACAGATAATGTATTTATACCATCTAGCCCACTATCTGACAAATGTGTTCAATATTTATTCCCTTTTTTCAATTGTTACCCTCTCTTTTAAATTTTGCTGTATTATCTTTAAATTAGAATTAATCTTTACCTCTTCTCCAAAGCACACACAGTGGTTTTTACATTAAAAAACAAACACCTCCATAGTATGTTTTACATTACTATTCACTATGTACAAGCTTTATATCCTATATAAGACCCCCAACACTGAGGGCAAATATAGTAGGTAGACAGATACACACACACACACACACACATATACACACAGCAGATATACATAAATTTATGTGTGTTTGTGTGTATACATATACAAAAATTCTCTATTTTCCATGACTTGTGAAAAGTATTCAATAACTGAAATTAATATACAAAGATGAATATAGTCACCTTATTAATATCTACCCAAAAACCTGTCATCACTATGCCTGTATTTTTTCATGTCTTAAAATTTTCAGCCTCATTATGATATCTATTTAATACTTTATCTGATTTAATTCTTTTAAAAATAGCTGGTGTTTCTCTTTAGAAACAAGGAAGAGAGAGTATAAAAGATAAGCCAAGAAATACTTGTGGTACTTGAAAGCAAAGAAGATGTTCTAAAAAAGAACTGGAAGAGGTGTAGGAAATAAAAAAAATATATAGGGGCCCACTGAAAGAGCTCCCAATGGCCAAAGCCAGAACAATTTCAGCAACAACAACAACAACAAAAAATTATAGTATTAGGCTTTATTTCACTGAAGAAATTAATGAGTCCATGGAGAAGACTCTTTCTAACATAGTAATTCCAACTAGTAAATGTACAAATAATGAACATTAATTAGGCAAACACAACAATAATGGTTGTCGCGCAAGATGCACTAAGGGACACTAAAATTAGTGGATGAAAATTTGAGGAGAAATAGGATATCTCCATAGTCTCCAAGTAGCTCCCCCATAAAACTCATTAATTACAAAGGGAAAAATAACAACTTTATTTAAAGGGGAAAATCCAGATGACACCACCTTAACCAAGTGATCAAGATTAGTATCACCAGTAATAAGATATATAGACATCAAGACCTGATACAATGCAATGAGAAAGGTAAAACATTACTTCTATGGCATTCTTCCCAAAAATGTATAACCTCGATCTAATCATGAGAAAACATCAAACAAACCCAAGATGAGAAGCATGCTGCCAAAAAAACAAACCACCAATAGTACAACAGTACTCTTCAAAAGAGTAAGGTTTATGAAAGATAAGGAGAAACTGAGGACTAAGAAGATATGACAACTAAATGCAGTGTGGGATTAGGGACTGGATCCAAGAACAGAAAACGAATATTAGTGGAAACACTGGTGAAATCTGAGTAAGGTTTATACCTTAGTCAACATAAATTATTCATTTTTTAAATATATGTACCATGGTTATGCAAGATGTTAACAAGAAGAGAAGCCAAAGAGTATACGAAAATTCTGCATACTATTTTTGCAAGTTTTCTTTACATCTTAAATTATTTCAAAATATAAAGTTTTTATAAAGCATCATAGATATGCATCTGTCAATATATTTTTAAAAGATTTAAAAAATCCACCTTGTTAATATCTACTACCAATTAATCCATAGCAGACTAACTTTCCAAATGGTCACAAGACTTATTTTTAAAAGCTTAAATAGAAAACAAAAATACAGTCTGATTAATCAGCTCTGGTATCCTGCCATTAGAAATTCTACAAACTAGATATTCAAGGTCTGCTTCTTTAAAAACAAAAATGTCACTAAAATAATTGGCTAAAAAATATAGTTCAAACACCATTTAAGAAAGATATAATTATTCAGAGCTGCAATTTAAAGCTATCTTCAATACATAAAAAACTGTTGGCAGTTAATAACATTGAATATAAAATAGGAAAAAGTAAAAAGCAAACACTGAGTCAAATTTTATAGCCTGTGACATTAACACTCAGATTAGAATAAATAAATAAGAGTCCACTTAGGAAAACAATCGCATTTAGGTATTTTTGTTAGTTGTCTTAGGTTTTGCATTTCAGGAATTTCATGACTCATCCAAAAAAAAAAAAGCAAAGTGATTTGGACTGTACTTTAAAGCCCTGCCAGCTCTAAAACTCCATGACTAAGCTTTCCGTGACTGTATCCTGACTTCCTTATATAACAAAGTTTTACGCAGGCAGAAGCTATTATTTCTGGATTACAAAATTCAAAATAAAAATTAATGTCGAATTTTCAAAAACTTGTAGCACTTATTGTTATGCTTAGCTCCCATGAAAAAAATTTTAAAGTATAAACAGAAATAAATTGAATGCATTTCTTTTGTTAACCACATTTAAACTTTTTGCTAAGTTGCCAATAAACAAATGGATTAGTTATAAATTTAGTAAGTTAACTTATTTTCTAGGCTGGGCGCGGTGGCTCACGCCTGTAATCCTAGCACTCTGGGAGGCTGAGGCAGGCAGATTGCGCGAGGTCAGGATTTAGAAACCAGCCTGAGCAAGAGCCAGACCCCATTTCTACTATAAATAGAAAGAAATTAATTGGCCAACTAATATATAGAAAAAATTAGCCGGGCATGGCGGTGCATGCATGTAGTCCCAGCTACTCAGGAGGCTAAGGGAGCAGGATTGCTTGAGCCCAGGAGTTTGAGGTTGCTGTGAGCTAGGCTGACGCCACGGCACTCACTCTAGCCTGGACAACAAAGCAAGACTGTCTCAAAAAAAAAAAACAACTTATTTTCTAACAGAAAACCAATCACAATGAAAATGACTAGAAATAAACCCACAACTTTTAAGAAAGAAACTGTTAAATATAACAAAATAAGTTCTAGTACACACACTTAAATTTGATTGTCTATAAAAAGGCTAAGTATTAAAAGATAAACTACAAACTTAATTTATAACATATCTTATCTTTTCTTTTTCTTTTTTTGAGACAGAGTCTCACTCTGTTGCCCAGGCTAGAGTGCCGTGGCATCAGCCTAGCTCACAGCAACCTCAAACTCCTAGGCTCAAGCAATCCTTCTGCCTCAGCCTCCCGAGTAGCTGGGACTACAGGCATGTGCCACCATGCCTGGCTAATTTTTTCTAAATATTTTTAGTTGGTCAATTAATTTCTTTCTCTCACTCTTGCTCAGGCTGGTTTTGAACTCCTCACCTTGAGCAATCCTCCAGCCTCGGCCTCCCCAGAGTGCTAGGATTACAGGCGTGAGCCACCACACCTGGCCACTTTATAACATTTCTTTACCCAAAAACATCTATGAGGACCTAAACCATTGCCCATATTGCACTACAAGTTTTATCCTCTGATTATTTGTTTCTTGACATAGAATATAATGAAATTATTTTATATATGTAAGTAGCATGCAGTCACATTGCCAACCAACATTAATATCAAACATACACAAAATTCAGAATAAAATGAAAACTTTTTTTTAAAACACATAGACCACCAAAATCCCAAACACTGCAGAGGATGGGGAGCAACAGGAACACTCATTCACTGCTGGTAGGAATACAAAATGATACAGCCACTTTGGAAGACAGTTTGGCAGTTTCTTACAAAACTGAACTTTACCCTTACCACCCAATTTAGCAATTACACTCTCTGGGATTTACCCAAATGAGTTGAAAACCTCCACCCACACAAAAACTTGCCCAAGAATAGCAGCTTTGTTCATAACTGCCAAAACTCAGAAACAACCAAGATGTCCTTTAATAAATCAATGGATAAACAAACCATGATACAATCATATAATGGAATAGTGTTCAGCAAAAGAAAAAAGAAAAAAAAAGATCCCTCGAACCACGAAAAAGTATAGAGAGAACTTTAGCTGCACATTGCTAAGTAAAAGAAGCCAAAATGCAAAGGCTATATACTGTATCATTCCAGCTATATGATATATTGGAAAGGGCAAAACTACAGAGATAGTAAAAACATCAGTGACAAGGGAAGAAGAGATGAATAGGTGGAACACAGGAGATTTTTTTAGGAGAATAAAACTATTCTTTTGTATGATACTACAACAGTAGATACATGTCTTTATACATGCCTTACATTCATCAAAATCCATAGAACACACTTCATAAAGAGTGAACCCTAATGTAAACTATAGATAAATAACATATCAGTACCGGTTCATGAATTATAACAAAGGTATCACACTAATACGAGATGTTCAAAATAAGGGAGAGATGATTTGAGGTTTGATTTTTAAGATTTAAAAATTATAGTAAACTTTATTTTAAATCCTTCATTTTATAATCCTGAGCACATTTTTTAAAGTAATGACTCAAACAATGTAAACTTCTTTCTGCTAGCATAAGAAGGTTCTTAGTATTTAAATATAGGGGGAACCCAGAGGAAGAAGCCTTGACTATTAACAGCCCCAGAGGAGACTTAAAAAGTCCTGGAATTATTTTTTTTTAAAACAGAGGCAAAGATGTAAGCAGCAAAGAGTCATTTGGGATGTTTTAATCTGAAGTTGAAAAATAAAAAGAATTCATGTCATCCATCAACTTCAATGGAGAAAAACATTACATTTTAATTTTTAGTAACAACTAAAACTTTAGCATGTCCTTTGATTATAGTAATATAGGCAACAAGCCACATGGTATTGTCAGCACTTGTGATTTTTGTTTCTGACAGAATCACATATGTTACTAACACGTTACAATTTGTTATAGGTATCTCAATGTTATCATACTTTGAAATTATGGCAGTTATTAAGTCTGTCATTATATCTTGAAAACACACAGATTGTGAAGCAAGTATATTAATATATCACATATTTGTTACTATAATATTTTAATAACTATTTCAATAAATTGGCTTTCTTCAAATTTTTATGCATTTTATTTTACATACATTAAAATATTATTTTGAGATAGAGTCCATAAACTTCATCAGATCATTACATACACAAGGCTAAAAATTTGCTTTAATACAACCCAAAGTCAGTACCTTTATAGTACAAGATCATTCTCCAGCAAATTCTGTGACAGATTTCTAAGATTATTTTTTTCCAATTTTTTTTATTGTGGTAAAAAAACACATAAAATTTACTATCTCAACCATTTTAAAGTATACAATTCAGTGTTATTAAGTGCATTCATACTGTCGTGCAATGATGGCCACAATCCATCTCCAAAACTCTTTTCATCTTACAAAACTGAAACTCTATACCCATTAAACATGAACTCCCCATTTCTCCCTTCAGGGAACTGAAAGCCCTGGCAACCACAATTCTACTTTCTGTGGCTAAGTTTGCCGTCTCTAAATTCCTGATATAATATAATAAGTGGTATTTCTTTTTGTGATTGGCTTATTTGATTTAGCATAATGTCCTCAAGGTTCATCTACATTGTAGCATATGTCAGAATTATCCGAATAAGAGGGCCAAGACAATAATGAATATTATTCATGTATATCCATTTTGTAGTCACTTTCATATGACAGAATCAGTATAACTATAAATCCTATTGATCATCTTTGTAGTTTTCATCTGGATTATTTTCCTCACATCTTATTTGCTACAGTATTCTAATATCAGTAATAGTACTGTTTTCTCAACTGAAAAAAAAATCACCAAAAATAAAGACCTAGAAAGAAAACTTCAGTGAAAGTTACCAAAAAAATTTTAAATGACTATTATAAAATATCATGTGGCCTGCACTAGACATTGACATTCGTATGACTTTTACTAAATAAAGACACTAATTAATTCAACTCTGGTATCCTGAACATGCCTAAATAGATAATCACAATGAGGTACATTTTAACGGAAATATGACATCTAGTTTTACCAAGTTCTGCAGTTTTCAGTCCTTACCTTGAAATGCTAGTACACAATTGACTGTTGATCCTTCTACATAATGTTCAGGCAAAGGGGACCATAAAAATGTGTAATAATCACGAGCAGTACTCCACCCAACCTAAAGGAAAATAACAATAAAAGGGGAGTTATAAGTAAATAGTTTAATATTAGGTGGATATAGCCTATTGTTTTTCACTATAGCCTGAAGTTAAAACACACACTAAATAGGTTTACAAATCATGATGAGTACTTTAACAACCATGTCAAATTATTAAGCTATAGCTTAATGCTATAAAAATCTACATAAACTGAATAGAGTTTCTAAAGTGCATTAAAATGCAATTTGCTATTCAACTTCTCAAGGATAATCTAAATATGCATATGATTAAATATAAAATCTTTTATTTTGCTCAAAATTTGATTTCACTAAAAAACAGATTTTTAAAAATTTATTTTATACCTCAAATTTAAGCTTTTTGCTTTGTTTGTTTTACTGAGACACCCCCCACCTCTTAAAACCACTAACTAAATTTTACTAAAATCACTAATCTCCAATCTTCAGCAAGCCAAGTTGTAAATTTTGTGGAAAAGGTCTTTAGCACCAAGATGTTTATATATACACACAAATTGACCACCTATGTCTCACACCTACTACTAAAACATTTCAACATGAATATAAACATTACATATCTCAATCTGTATTTTCCAGATGAACTGTACCATGTTAAATACTGAAGATCAGAAATATTTGAAACAGGTACTAGATATCCATTTGCTAGTAATATTATCAGAAATTATACATCAGCTACAAGGTTAGATTACATATGCTCCATGATTCTGATTGGCCTTGAATTACAAACAGAACACTGAAGCTGGAAGAAGCTTGGTGACCTTGTCTCTAATGGAATGGATAAAACTACAGGTTATAACCCAATAGAAACTGGTAAAAATCAATTTAGTGGCTCATAACCAATATTTATTTTTTAAAGTATATAGAACAGAAAGTATGAGAGTACATTAAGGTTAAGTGTTGTTTCATGAAAATTTGTTTCATGTGTATTTGCATGCAACTTTGCTAGCACAATTCATAGAATTTATCTTTTTCTGTGTGCCATGGTTAAAAACATTTGACACTATTCATCTCTACAGATAAGCAGCTTGAGGAATCAGGGAACAAGTGATTTACTTCATCTGTCTGAGCCTCAGTTTTTTCTCTCAGAGGTGCTAGAAGAATTAAACTAGATGACAAACATAAAAGCAGCACTTGAAGTGCCTGTCCCATGGTGAAGCACTCCACAAGTGTTAATCCTTATAAATGTAGTATATTGTAGTGATTAAAAGCGAGCATAGGGTATGGGCTCAGACTGCCAGAAAAGATCACTTACTAGCTGTATAGATTCAGGCATGTTATTTAAATCCACTTATTCCTCTTTAAAATAGAGATATTGATTATAATCTCAAAAGGTTGTGTCTATATTAAATGAGATCATCTCTGTATTTACCACAGTGCCTATCAAATAAGTGCCTGTTAAATATTACCAGTCAGTCATACCCAAAGGCACACAGCACAGCAGAGACATTAGTCTTGACTTTATGATGTTATGTCCATTTCATATCCCCTAATGCTTCTAAGCACCTACCAAAGAAATGTTCATCTGAAGTTTTTCCCTCAGCATATACATCGGATACAAAGCATAACTTGCACTCTTTGTCTCTATCTATACACTGATATTAAAGAAAAAATACTATCTAGAGATACATTTTTCTTGGAAAAAAAATTTTCCTGGACCAGATTATCAAGACAGGGGCTGAGTGTGCCATTTATTTGTGATGGCTAATCCACAAAACTGCTAACTTCACAATTATAAATGATGTCTGATTCAATAGCACTGGGAGTAGTAGTAGTAGTTTATTGCAATTTTGTTTTGGCTTATTATTATCCTAATTATACAAATCAGGAAATAAGTAAAAGGCTAATAAATGGCAGTCAGAATTTGAACATAAAGTTCAAGCTCTTAACCACCAAGACACTACTCAGATCTTATTCCATGCCCCACGCCATGCACACACCAATTTAACAATATACTCCAAAAACTGATTAAGTTTCAGTACCCCAGGGCAGGCTCAAAGTCAAGAGTTGCAATGATATGGGTAAGAAAAGCTATTCATAATAACCACAACAACCCCTCCAAGCGAGCATAACTCTGCAGGATTAGGAGGAAGAGCTCAGTTTACACCTTCTCCCTTGGAAAGGAAAGAGATGAGAACTTGCGTCCAGCATTCTATTCTGGCTTTTCAGTGGACTGCCCAAGAAGCAGATTTCTGTCTCACCTACCTTGGTGTACTTTTGGTTGCCTAGTGGCTGAGGAGAAAAAAGGACAGCTCAAATGGCTTGTTGTAGCACCAGAGAACCTACAGTACCACAGACAGTCACCAGAGGGAGCAAGAGAATACAAGTTCCTGCAAGAAAAATCAGTAAATCTCTCTAAATGGGAAACTACATGAGCAAAAAGCTCATAGAAGACACATTCTCCTAAAAGATACAAAGGGCCTCCACAATCTCTAGCCAGGCTGTTTGATGAAGGTCTTCTCCGTACACAGCCAGTCTATAAAAGCTGAGAAAGGTGGTTGTTTTATTAAGTGCACAGAACAGCAAAAAATAAGACAAAGAAACAGAAATATGGTCCAATGAAAGGAACAAAATAAATGTCAATAAACCAACTCTAAAGAAACAGAGATGAATTACCTGACAAAAAATTCAAGATAATCATCTTCAATAAGCTTAATAAACTACAAAAGAACACAGATAACCAACTAAACAAAATCAAGAAAACAGATGAAAAAATGAGAACACCAACAAAAAGAAACTAAAAAGAACCAAATAGAAATTTTAGAGATGAAGAATAGAATAACTAAATTTAAAATTCACCAGAGGGGTTCAACACATGACTTAATCAGGCAAAATAAAGAATCGGCAAACCTGACAGGTTATTTGGAATTATCGAGTCAAGTGAACAGAAACAAAAAAGAATGAAGAAAAGTAAAGTTTAAGGGACTGATGGGACAGTATCAAGCCCAAGAATATATACATTATGAGAGTTCCAGAAAGAGAAAATAGAGAAAAAGGCCCAGAGAGCTTATTTGGAGAAATAATGTCCCAAAATTCCCTAATCTGAGAAAGAAAATGTACATTCAAATTGAAGAAGCTCAAAAAGACTCCAACTAGAATATCCCAAAGAGACCCACACCAAGACACATTATAGTCAAACTGTCGAAAGTCAGAGGGAATCCTGGAAAAAGCAAAAGAAAAATGACTTATCACACAAAAAGAACTCCCACAGGATCACCTACGGATCCCTCAGCAGAAACATTATAATACAGAAGGGAATGCTGTAATATTATAATGGTGGTGCTTATATCACTTTTAATTCTGGTATAAAACTTAAAAGATACAACAAAAACAACTATAACTATAAAACTATGTTAAAGAATACAAAATATAAAATACGTAAATTTGTGACCTCAATAAAATTGAGGGGAGATGTAAAGGAGTAAAGTTTTTGCATGCAAATGAAGTTTTACACCTATAGAAGATGCACAAAAGAAAATAAGACCACCCAAATAATGACAGAATTAGAGGAATAAACAGTAGCACCATAATAGAAGATTTTAATACACCTACTTTCATAATGGACATATCAACCAGATAGAAAATCAATGGAAACAGAGGTATTGAACACTATAGGCCAAGTGATCCTAATAAACATATACAGAATACTTCACCCAGTAATAGTAGAACATACATTCTTAAGTGCACAAGGAATATTTCCCAGGTCAGAGCCCATGTTAGGATACAAAACAAGTTTTAACAAACTTAAGACTGAAATCATACCAAGTATCTTTTCTAACCACAATGGAATGAAACATGAAATCAATTTAAAAAATGGAAAATTCAAAAATACGATAAATTAAACAATACAATCTTGAATGACCAATGGGTCAAATAAGAAATTCTAATAGAAATTAGAAAATATTGATATAAATAAAAATGAAAACACAATATATCAAAATTTACAGGATGCAGTAAAAGCAATACTATGAGAGAAGTTTGTAACAGTAAACACCTCCCTTAAGAGATACCAACTAAACTACCAAACTTCACACCTCAGGAACTAGATAAAGAATTAGACCAGGCACAGTGGCTCATGCTTGTAATCCTAGCACTCTGGGAGGCCAACGTGGGTGGATCGCTCAAGGTCAGGAGTTCAAAACCAGCCTGAGCAAGAGGGAGACCCTGACTCTACTAAAAATAGAAACAAATTAATTGGCCGACTAAAATTACATAGAACAAGTCAGCCAGGCATGGTGGCACATGCCTGTAGTCCCAGCTACTCGGGAGGATAAGGCAGGATTGCTTGAGCCCAGGAGTTTGAGGTTGCTGTGAGCTAAGCTGACACCACGGCACTCTAGCCTGGGCAACAAAGTGAGACTCTGTCTCACAAAAAAAAAAAACCATGAAACTAAACTCAAAATTAGAAGAAAGGAAATAAGAAAGATTAGAGCAGAAATAAATGATAGAGAATAGAAAAACAAAACAAAAATCAAGAAAATAACTGGCTTTTTGAAAAGATTAACAAAACTGGCAAATCCTTGGCTAGATGAAGAAAAAGAGAAAAGACTCAAATATCAAAAATCAGAAATGAAAGCAAAAAACATTACATTTAATGCCAGAGAAATGAAAAGGATCTGAAGACACTACTATGAACAGTATACACCAGCAAAATGGATAACAGAGTAGATGGATTTCTAGATCCAAATAACCTATCAATCATGAGAAATAAAAAAAAACTTAATAAACTGTAGCACTAAGAAGACTGAATCAGTAATCAAAAACTTCCCAACAAATAAGGTCCAAACCAGCTGGCTTCACTGAGAATTCTACCAAACATTTATTCCAATCCTTCATAATCTCTTCAAAAGTTGAAAGAAGGGGAACATTTCCAAACTTATTTATGAAGCCAACATTACCCTTATGCCCAAATGAGACAAAGATGCTACAAGAAAACTACAGACCAATATTCCTAATGAATACTGATGCAGAAATCCTCAAAAAATACT